CGAACCCCGAGTCGGTCGGCCTCTCCCGCCCCAAAGCGGTCGGACTCAGATCCTACGCGGTCGGACTCCTCCGAGACGCGCGGTCCGATCGGGGCTCCCCTCGCCTGACTCTAAGCCCGAATCGGTCGGACTCTCTCGCGCCAAAGCGGTCGGACTCAGATCCTACGCGGTCGGACTCCTTTCACGCGCAGCGGTCGGACCCCGGCTTAGCGCGGTCGGACTCGCTGATTTGAGTCGACGCGTATCGCATTTGAGTTCCTCGAGTAGACGACATAGGAGGCGTTTCGACCGTTTGCTTGTATAAAGTTCTACAAATATGCATCTAGTTTGACTCGCGATCGCGCCCTCGGCATAGAGGCACCCATGGCTTACCCGTCCAACGGGTCTGCGGCCGCAGACGAAGCGGCGGTGGTTTGGGGCGCCTGGAGCAACGATACCCGAAGGCGTCCTCCTCCTCCCTACTGTTCTATGTACGGCCACAATATTCTGGTGCCTTTGCTGCACGGCGTCGTGACGGCCGTAGGAACCCCGATCAATGTGTACATGATATGGGTGTTGTTTCGGGCTCGTCGTTGCGGACCTTCGAACGGTTCGTTGACATCCATGTCCTCCTCTCTGACTCGACGAGGGACCTCGTTGACGCATTATGACTACTTTCTCTTCCACATAGGTCTGTGCAATCTATGCATGTTGTTCACCATACCGACATGGGTCTCTCAGTACGTGTTTCCTCGAGGTTGGATCTTCGGATACGTTCTTTGTAAAGTCGTGAAAGGTTCGATGACGGTAAGTCCTTACGGCTCTCGAGTTTATTTTTTTCCTGCTTGTGTTTTTTTTTACTACGGGTGTATTCATTATTTTTTGTTTCATGTGTTTGTGTTTCTACAGTTCAGTTTGCAGTACGGCATTCTGACCGTGGTGTACATCAACGTGGAGAGGTTTCTGAAAGTGGTCTACAACAAGACGACCTTTTCGTGCTTTGGTGGTGGATGCAGGTCGGCGCAGAAACGAAGATGGACGGCGTCCCTTTTGTGCTCGTGTTTGCCGACGATCTCCTGCCTGACGGACGTGAACACGTACAATGTCGTGCAATACCAACAGACGGCGATGTGCCTCAACACCGCCGACCCGCTGATGCAGCTTACCGGATTGTGGTTCAGGACCACCGTGTGTTTCATCGTGCCCGTCGCCGTGCTGGCGCTTTGCAACGGGGCCGTGATATGGGCCGTGAAAAAACACGCCCGTAGAATCTCTTCGGCGGGGTTGGCTCCTCGGTGGCCGCTGAAGGGAGCTCAGATCATCCCCTTGCTCACCGTGGCGTTTTTCATAGGATGCTTGCTCCTCGTGGAGTTTTTCATAGGATGCTGGATACCGTGGGTCGTGAACGCCGTGTATTTCGCTCGGACGCGAGTCCGGTGCGCGAGTCTGATGTTAACGGTGGTTAACGTCAGCTTGGCCGTGGCCAACATGCACTGCCTAATGACGCCTGTGATGTATCTATCTGTAAAAACGGGGATGTTTAAGTCTTCTCTCCGCGAAAGACTCTCGCTGTGCTGTGCATCTATCTGTAAAACCGAAAACGGGGATGCTTCTCAGCGCCGCCAAGAGCTCTCGCTGGCATCTATCTGTATAGACGAGAATGGGGATGCCTCTCAGCGCCGAGGACTCTCGCTGCATCCATCTGTATAGACGAGAATGGGGATGCCTCTCAGCGCCGAGGACTCTGGCTGTGCTGTGTATAAAATATATTGTTGTTCATTTTTTGAGAGAGTGTCTGTGTATTGTGTTCATTTTGTTGTACATAATAAATTACGTCTATACCTTTTCGTTTGTTGTGATCCAAATAAAACATGTCTATAGCTTTTTCTACAATAAAAACAAGCAAACAAGAAAGACTTTTGTTGTCTGTGATTTTTATTCAAACTGTCCAAACGCTTTGAGTAAATCAACAACCGATATAAGCGTAATCATCATCCATCAACCCATCCAACCCATCCGGGGTTGAAGACCCGCTGCTCAATAGTTGTCCGACTTGGTCCACGGAGATCATCTCGTGAGGCGCGAAGGGCTCGTAGGGCTCGGTGTCTTGTACGGCGATCTCGTAGGGCTCGGTGTCTTGTTCTTCTCCTGATGAAGACCCGCTGCTCAATAGTTGTCGTACCCCGACTTGGTCCACGGCGATCATCTCGTGAGTCGCGAAGGGCTCGTAGGGCTCGTGTTCTTCTCCTGACAGGGTGCTGGCTAACGACCACGGTATAGTCGGGTTATCGCAGGTGCCCGGGGGATGCCCGCATAGGATTTGACAATAGTCCATGTACGGGTCAAAGCCATCTGGGACTTCGCTACAGTGAATCAATCGATGATGATTAGACGCTGCGCTGGGTCCGGGAGCGTCGACTGCTGCTGCTTTTTCAACGGGCTTCTCGTCGTTTGGCCGAGAGTCACTCCCGACGACGCGAGAGCCGGAGCCGAGTGCGACCGCGCTTTCGCATAATGTCGCTATTTTCTCTAGCAACTCCTCGAATCGAAGGGAAAAACGAGGCCCGTACGCTTCGTACGACTCACGGGGCATGCGAATGAAATCCACGAATGACATGTCGTTGTCGAACGCGAACTGAGCCTGATCCAAACCCATACAGTGAATCATTCGATGATTAGACGCTGCGCTGGGTCCGGGAGTTTCAACGGGCTTCTCGTCGTTTGACCGAGAGTCACTCCCGACGAGTGCGACCGCGCTTTCGCATAATGTCGCTATTTTCTCTAGCAACTCCTCGAATCGAAGGGAAAAACGAGGCCCGTACGCTTCGTACGACTCACGGGGCATGCGAATGAAATCCACGAATGACATGTCGTTGTCGAACGCGAACTGAGCCTGATCCAAACCCATACAGTGAATCATTCGATGATTAGACGCTGCGCTGGGTCCGGGAGTTTCAACGGGCTTCTCGTCGTTTGACCGAGAGTCACTCCCGACGAGTGCGACCGCGCTTTCGCATAATGTCGCTATTTTCTCTAGCAACTCCTCGAATCGAAGGGAAAAACGAGGCCCGTACGCTTCGTACGACTCACGGGGCATGCGAATGAAATCCACGAATGACATGTCGTTGTCGAACGCGAACTGAGCCTGATCCAAACCCATACAGTGAATCATTCGATGATTAGACGCTGCGCTGGGTCCGGGAGTTTCAACGGGCTTCTCGTCGTTTGACCGAGAGTCACTCCCGACGAGTGCGACCGCGCTTTCGCATAATGTCGCTATTTTCTCTAGCAACTCCTCGAATCGAAGGGAAAAACGAGGCCCGTACGCTTCGTACGACTCACGGGGCATGCGAATGAAATCCACGAATGACATGTCGTTGTCGAACGCGAACTGAGCCTGATCCAAACCCATACAGTGAATCATTCGATGATTAGACGCTGCGCTGGGTCCGGGAGTTTCAACGGGCTTCTCGTCGTTTGACCGAGAGTCACTCCCGACGAGTGCGACCGCGCTTTCGCATAATGTCGCTATTTTCTCTAGCAACTCCTCGAATCGAAGGGAAAAACGAGGCCCGTACGCTTCGTACGACTCACCGACATGTCCCGCGAACATTCGTGCGAGGGCCGCGAGGGCCGAGAGGCGGCGTTGGATAACACGATGAACGTCGATGAGGCTCAGGGCGCCGAGAACGAGACCGACGAGGCTCCGAGCGCGGAGGAACCTGCTCAGGGCGCCGAGAACGAGACCGACGACGCTCCGAGCGCGCCGGAACCTGCTCCGGCCGCCGAGAACGAGGAGACCGAAGCGACTGACTCTTCCTCCTCGGCCTTCGCGCCTTCAGCGAGCGAAGAAAGAAATGAAAAGAAGGAATGAAAGAACGAGCAAAGGCGAGAAAGGCGAGAACAAGGACTGATATGTTTGATATGTGCTGCATTTGTTTTGCCTGTTTGTGTGAACCAAATAAACCATGTTATTTGTACCTAGTGTTGATTTCAGTCTTTTATTCCACACGCAAGGGCTTTTCTACACGACATGATGCACGACTGCGCTACGCCATGATTTTCGATAGGGACACACAGCACAATACGAATGGACTGCGCTACGCCATGATGCATATGAATGGCTCAACACAAAACCTTTATTCGATACGCCGTGATGCATTTATGAATGGCTCACAAAACCTTTATTCGATACGCCATGATGCATTTATGAATGGCTCACAAAACCTTTATTCGAGTTATAGGGACACACAGCACAACACGAATGGACTCACAAAATCTTTATTCGAGACGTAACACAACACACAGCACAACAACAAAATTTTTTACAATTATACAGAGCATATCGTTTCTATGTCTCGTTGTCTGCTTCGTTTCAGTTCTCGGTTGTCTGAACGATCCTCCTCCGCGCTCGATCGTCGTTGGCGTTGATTTTTTGTCGAGGCCGCTCTGGCCGTTCCTCTCCGATCCGTCGTCGGCGCTCCCGTCGGTCGTTCGCCTCCTCTCATCTCCAACGCTGTATCGCCGTCCGATCGAAGCAGAGTCTTCATCGCCTCCGCGAGGCGCCTCGATTCCCGAGGTTTCCTGGTCGCGGGCTCTCCTTTGACCACCATCATGGTCACGGCGTAGTCTCGCTTCAGGGTCTCGGGACAAAACGATTCGCGTCCGTGCACTTTGTTGAACACCTCCGAGGCTTCTAACCATTCCCAATCGTTCTCTAGCGTCGCCAGAGGCTCCCGGGGGGGCTCGTCGCGCCTCCGGGGGA